GCTGACAGGTGCTCACGGCCGCCCTCGTCCTCACGCATTCCTGCCTCCTTCTGCTTCTGTTTTCTGCTCCCTGCTCCGCCTTCCCTGGGACCCACCTCTCTGCTCTGAGACGCCGCCACGGGGATGATTTGAAAACACTTTCTGTTCAGTTCTGTGGCTGGCTGTTCTAATTCCAGATCCCCATGTAAGTTCACAGGTGTTTTTTCTTTGCTTTTTGCTGGAAGCATCGGAGCAATTTCCTCTCTGCGTGTTTCCCTCACCCGCCGGGCAGGTTTACACACCGAATATAAACCGTGAGCGTAAAAGTCAGGAGTCTGCAGGCCCCGTTCCTCTCAAACTGGAGCCGTGAGGTTTAACAGAGGAGAGAGGGCCTGGGGAACCACAGGCAATCACAGTTAGAATTGAATTCCCTTCTGGCACCAGACCCACCCCTGCGCCCTGCACCCCGCAGGGACAGGGAAGGCAGGGAAACCCGAGTTTCCCGCACGTGTGGACCCCGCGTTCCCCGGCTCTGGACGGGTCCTCGGTGGGCGTCTCTGCCCCGGACCCGGTGGCCGTGCCGCTGTATCCTGTGCAGATGGTGCTGGGGTGGTGAGGGCATGGAGCCGCAAAGCCCCCGGGAGCCCCTGCTCTGTGAGGTCAAAGGTCTCAGCGTCTCACCCTGTCTGACCTTTCACCCTCAGCACTTGGGCCAGCTCAGCCCAGCAGGCTGCCCGGGTCTCCCTTTCCAGAGGTGAATCTCAGGTGTCTCCTTCATGGGGCCCTGCCCTGCCCCAGTCCTGCCAGAGGCTAAGATGCTGGAGTCTGTCTTAGCATCTTCAGGAGGGACTGTCTGTGATTCTGTGGGAGAAGGAAGCACCCCAAGATGCCAGAGGAGGCTGAGGCTGGATGAACGGTGTCCCCCGTCATCCCCACTCAACATTACCTCTGTGATTCTTGCTTCCCCTAAAGGTGGGACATTTCAATCATGCAGAGTCCTGGCCCCAGGCTTGTGAGGTGAGCCTGGCTGGAGAGGAGGGTGCCGACAGCCGTGCGCAACTGCCCACAGCTGTGAGGGGGGCACTTGGACCCTTCCATTGCTTTACTAAGGGTCAAAATTAAGGGCTGTGGAGACATCTGTGTTTTGCTTGGGACAGAGATAGGCAAGTACCTTTCCGGCCAATGTATAAGTTAAACTATATACAGTCAGCCCTCCGTATCTGAGGGTTCCACATCCACAGATTCAACTAACCTCGGATGGAAAATATTCAGAAAAAAATTCCAGAAATTTCCAAAAAGCAAAATATCAATTTACCATGCACTGACAACTGTTTACATAGTATTTACATTGTGTTAGGTATTATACGTAATCTAGAGATGATTTAGAGTATACAGGAGGATGTGTGTAGGTTATATGCAAAAACTACACCACTTTTTATACAGCACTTGAGCATCTGTGGACGTTGGTATCCTCGGGGCTCCTGGAACGAATCCCCCATGGTTACAGAGGGACGATTATACTGGCCTAAAAAGCAAGCACATTTCTAAACAAGGAACATTCACAGGCTGTTGTCGGGTAGATTTTCTCCTCTCCTGATGTGTGTCTCAGAAGGAGACCCCTTGCTGTACTGGCAGCAGACAGCGAATCCTCGATTAATCCCATTTGCTTCTCCCCAGATGGGAAGACCTTATGGCTGTCGGCAGAAATCTCAGATCCCGTAGGAGAGATTCCACAGGGCGCGTGTAGCCCTTCCCCATGGGATGTGCTTAGGTGGACACGTCTGGTGAAGAGTCAGGGCTTCCCTGTGGACCACAGGGCTCCACAGGGTCCTCGGCCTCAGGACCCAGGAGGGGTTCAAGGGGGATGCTACTCTCCCACCCCACCCTGATGGGGACGCCCCACCTCCTGGGCCCCAGGGTGACTGGCTGGGATGTCGCCCAGGCACTCGGGAGGCTGATGGGCGGACGGCGCCTCCCACACCTCTGGGAAAGTGGGCCGTGACCTGGAAGCCTCGCCCTCCTTTCTCTGGCAGCACCGTGGCCGGTGTGTTCACACCGTCCAGTGGCATTCCTGGGAACTGTCTAGGTTTCCTTCCCTGGAGACGTGCTGAGAACCTTTGTTCCATTTCAGCTGCAAACTTCAAACACAGAAGGAGGGGATCTGCTTTTTCCATCACAGGCGCGGAGCCGGGAGGAACCCAGACAGAGGCAGGAGTTTCCCATCTTGGGTGTGATCCTGGCCCCAGACCCCGGTCTGCCCTCCACCCTGCCGACCACACAGGCTCTTGGCTCGTGGGTCGTGCCTGATTTTTAAACTTCCCTTGAAGAGTGATTTAGATCCAGAGTCAGAGGGTCAGGACTTCGGCCTCTGTGCCGCTCCCACATGGAAGTGCTTCCCTGCGCTCAGAGCAGGGCTGGCGATGAGAGGAGGGGTGACCCTTCTTCCTGGGGGAGCTTCCGGGCCTCTCATGACGCGGGCGCCTGGCTGCTGCCCCCTTCTAGTGCCGCTGCCGTCACATTTCATTACTTTGCACAAGCGTCACACGTAGTTTAAACAAATGGGACCTAGTTAAACTGAAAAGCTTTTGCACAGCAAAGGAAGCCGTGACAAAACGAAAAGATAACCTACTGAATGGGAAAAGATATTTGCAAATGATACGACCGATAAGGGGTTAATATCCAACATATATTACAGAAGCAGCTCATATAACTCAACATCAGACAAACAACCTGATTTAAAAATGGGCAGAAAAACTGAATAGACATTTTTCCAAAGAGCAGATGCAGATGGCAGCAGGCACATGAAAAGATGCTCAACATCACGAATCATCAGGAAAATGCAAATCAGAACCACAGTGAGATATCACCTCACACCCCTCAGAATGGCTATCGTCAAAAAGAACACAGATAACAAATGAGCATGTGGAGAAAAGGGAACCCTCCTGCACTGTTGGCGGGAATGGAAACTGATACAGCCACTGTGGAGAACAGCATGGAGATTCCTTAAAAAACTAAAAATAGAACTACCATATGACCCAGCAATTCCACTCCTGGGTCTATAGCTGAAAAAAAAACCAAAAATAAAAACACTAATTTGAAAAGATACATACACCCCAATGTTCATAGCAGCACTATTTACGATCATCAAGGTATGGAAGCAACCTAAGCGTCCATCAAAAGATGAATGGATAAGGAAGATGTGTTCCATATATACAATGGAATATTACTCAGCCATAAAAAAGAATGAAATTTTGCCATTTGCAATAACATGGATGGACTTGGAGGGCATTGTGCTAAGTGAAATAAGTCAGACAGAGAAAGACACATACTGTCTGATGTCACTTATATATGGAATCTAAAAAATACAACAAACTAGTGAATACAACAAACAAGAAACAGATCCACAGATACAGAGAACAAACTAGCGGTTACCAGTGGGGAGAGGGAAGCGGGGAGGGGCAATATAGGGGTAGAGGGAGAAAAAAAGGTGAAAAAACGGCACATAGCAGTTTCCTGGAGGGTCTGGTCCTGCCCGGGGCCAAGGAAGCCTCGCTGAGGCTGGGCGGGGGTTACCAGCAGGTTCTTACGTGTATTTTCGATTTTGTGCGGTTTGCACATCGCACACTGCAGTTCCCCTGCTAATGATCTTCTGTGGCTCTAAATGGCTGCAGCCACAGGGCTGTCTGTGACTGAGCATGAGGGTCACAGCAGGCTGAGACACGAGGAGGGGACAGAATAGGCAGACTCTGTTCAGCTTTTAGTGGTTCTCAGGTCATGTGCATCACCTGAAGGACTTGGGAAAATCCAGAGCCCGTCCTCACTCCTAGAGTTTCTGATTCTGTGCTGGGGCCCAGGGACGGCCTGGGGTGATGCTGAGGCTACTGTGAGGACCACTCTTTGAAAACCATCCTCAGCATTGAACGTGGGATGGGGTGCCAGCTGGGGTGGCCCAGGTGGCATGTGGATGAGGTCAGGCGTCTCGGACGCAGCCTAAAAACAGGGTGAGGAAAAGGGAGGCTTAACCTTTTTAGGGTTTTTCCCATGGACTTTCTTGAGCCTTTGGTTGTGTTGCTCCCTGAGTTTCCTTATAGGGTTTGAGGCTCAGGTAAGCTCAACTCCCTGAGTACCAGGCCCCTCTCTCCTGAACCAGTGGGTGCTCAGCGAGAGGATGCCCCTATCGGTTTCTGACCCACACGTTCTCCTGCAGCCCAGCCCGGTGGTTGCGTGTCCGGGGACATCAAATAAGAGGTTCTTGAACTATTGATTGGGAGTCGATTAGATACCATTGATCCCAGTCTCCTGTGGTGCCGCTGGCTTCCCAAGCTCCCTGGCAAGATTCCTGGACGAGTCTCTGCATAGCGTTGAGGGCAGAGCAGCTGCTGCCAGGTGCCCTGAGCTGGCATCCCAGAAAAGCCCAGGGACGAGCGAGAATCCTAGGAACAGGGTCATGGATGGAACTGTTCACTTATTTGTTCTTTTGTCCATGTTTTGGTTCAATAAATATTTAGTAAGTGCCTGCTGTGTGCCAGACACTAGGGTAGGCACCAGGGACACAGCAGTAAACGAGATAGCTCACTGTGTGCATGCTCTAGAGAGGAAGACAGCAGACAAATAAATAAGTAAACACATAATGTGCTGCGTGGAGATCAGTGCTATGAAAAAACGGGGTAAGAGGAATGGGCAGGTTGGTATTGTTTTGAGTGAGCCGGCAGGGTCTCCTGAGGAGAATGCCGGGAGGGTGGGAGCCACGGCGTTGTCTTGGGGGAGAGCTTTCTAGAGGGAGGACACAGCAAGTGCAAAGGCCCTGAGGCGGCAGCCCTGGCAAAGGAGAGCCGGGAGAGAGATGGGGCCGGGTGACCCGCCCTCTCCGACCACAAGGGTTGCGATGGGAGGTCAAGGGCTTTGTGTATTGCCAACCCCGTGGGGTCTTGTGGGCTGTGAGGGTGCGGCTCTCACATCAGCTTTGGCAGCTCGGCTTCTCCGGCTGGATCATGAGGCGTGTCCATCCTCTGTCATTTCAGACTCAAAGGCAGTACATCGAGGCTACCAATGAGAGCAACCGAATCTTCCTGTATTGCGCCTTCCTGGACTTCAGGTACTATCTGCGTGGGAGGGTCCCGGGGCGAGAAGGGAGCAGAGGAGGGGCGGGAGGGCGCCCAGGGTGTCCATCTCGGTCACACACCTGTCCAGGTTATGATCTACTTTTATTTTGTTGCTTCTTATACTCTCTTTTTCTTACTCCAGTTGGATTTTTGTGTGTATTTTTTTTAACATCTTTACTGGAGTATAATTGCTTTGCAATGGTGTGTTAGTTTCTGCTGTGTAACAAAGTGAACCAGCTATACATATACACATATCCCCATATCTCCTCCCTATTGTGTCTCCCGCCCACCCTCCCTATCCCACCCCCCAAGTGTGTATTTGTGTGTATTTTTGGTGCCACTTTCTCTCTCCTATTGACCTCTGGTGTATACTTCCTTTTAATTTTTTGTAGTGGTTGCCCTGGGGCTTAGAGTATATATCTTTAATTCATCCGTGTCTACCTTCCAATAATATTTTATACCACCACACATGTATTCTGAGACATTACAACAATCTTTTCACAATTCTTCTTGCCCATCCTTTGCACTATTCTTGTTGTACATTTTACCTTTACAGATGCCAGAAACGCACAATACATTGCTAGGACTTTTGCTTTAGAAAGTTAGTTATCCTCTAAAGCAATTCAAATCAAGAAAATAATAACTGCATATTTCCCTTCATTTTTTTCCATCTCCAGCTATTTCATTTCTTTGCATAGATCACAGTTTCCGTCTGGTATATTCCTGTAACTTTTCTTGTAGTGTGAGTCTGCTGGCAGGAGGTTCAGCGGACTTTTATTTTTGAAAGATATTCTCACTGAGCTTAGAATTCTGTGTCACTTTTTTCCCTAGACTTACACTTTAACAAATGATAGAAGCAATATATCAAAACATTATTCTTTTAAAAAAGAAAACATTATAAGAAGAGCATATGTCCCGTTGGACCTTTAGATCTTATCCTGATCTCTCCTCTTGCCTGTAGTAGCCACAGTGGGGAGATTTTTGTGTGTATTTTTTGATAATGTATGCATGTTTTATATTTATGTTCTTGGGAAATATATGGTGTTGTTTAGTTCCACGTATCTTGCATCATTCCACCATCCTTATTTTGTGTTCTGCCCACATCTCTTTTCACTGACATGTAGTATTTTTTTCATATTTATATACACACATTCCATTTATGCACGTGAAAGAACAGTTTTCTGCTCAGATGCCAACTTCCTAGGTCACAGGGTAAGACACGTATTTTCCTGTTATTTGCTATCTCTTGACCTGGCTGCCATGGCAGATTTATTTACTCACAAGTCGGGGAACCAGGCTTCTTGTTTCCGCGGGTTCCCTGGGACGTGGATCTTTACATGCACACAGAGGTGATGCCACGCGGGGTTCAGCTCCCCTGGTTAATGAAGACATCGTTACGGCTTCGTGGCTCCATTTGGGAAATTGTGACTTTCATGGTTTTTAATTCACAGTCACTCTTGGCGCCAGCAGAGGGGACACGTTCCATCCTAGGACCACGCTCCCCGAATTCGTGCCCGCTACTTCTCAGGTCACCCTCTAATTCAAGTGTCCATACATTCTATGGACAAAGGTCACATACAGCCCAGCAGCCGGTGTCGCTGGTTCTCCTCGAGGGCCGGGGACAGGTTAGCCCTAACAGGTGGTAGGGTGGGACAGGACGTGCCCGTCTTTAAGGCCCTTTAATCCTGACGTTACTGGGCGTTTGCTCCTGAAAACTGGTAGGTTCGAGTGGTGCTGGCTGTGCTCTCTGGTCTCTGCTAAATGCTCCCCACCTGACTCATCACAAACGCTGCCTCTGAAGCTGCTGTCCCCGAGCCTCGGCCCTCAGGCTCAGTGCCACCCCTCAGCCTCCTCCAGACGACCCTTCCCACCTCCCCCTCGGGTTCCACGCTGCCCAAGCTCACCGAGAGCTACAATCGCACAGCATCCTCACAGGGACACCCTCTGCCTCAGGGATGAAAATAAAGATGCCACTAGTGTGTGCTTTGTTCACAGAGCACCGCAGGAGCGTGGCAGGACTGTGTTTATCCATCACCCCTCTGGGACGGCCACCTTTCTCATCCACGGCTGACATTGCCGTGAAAACTGAATGAAAGCAAAGAGAAACTAGAGCCTTTAAATTTCTTCAGCTTTATAAAAGCTTTCCCCAGGGGCCCCTGCCTTTGGCCGAAGCAAAGATTTGTCTTTGCTGATCACTCAAAGTTGCAATTTCTGGGAAGAACCATTTAAGCATCCTTTTTGTGAATTTGAAAATATAGAGAGATACAGGGAAGAAAATTGTAGTCGCTCATATTCTCACCACAAGAGTGAACCACAGTTAACATTTGTGTATTTTTGCTTCAAGTCGTTTTTGTCTAGGTTGATACTTTAAGAAATAAAGCAAGTAGTACGTCAAAACATTATCCTTTAAAAAATTATAAAAAAGTAAATATGTAAAAGACTTTTACATCTCATCCTGGTCTCTTGCCCTCTCTGTGGGGAGTTTTCTCAATAATTTATCTATCATTTATGGTTATGTTCATAGAAAATATACGATCTTCTTTCGTGTCATGCCCTTGCATCATTATTACGCATTCAACATTGTATATTAAGTTTCTGTGTTTTATCCATATGGATACATGCTGCTTTTGACTGATGTATATACCCTACCACATTTTATCCAGGTCCCCGAGGTGGACATTAGGTAACTTTAAAATGTTCTCTAGTATCACGTATCATTCAGTAAATACCCCAGACGCATCCCTGTGCACAGAGCTCAGAATTCTCTAGAAGTGGGATTGCTGGGTTGCAGGACCCGCACACTTCACGCTTTCTAGATTTTATTGAAGTACAGTTGATTTACAATGTTGTGTTAATTTCTTCTGTACAGCAAAGTGATCCAGTTATAGATGTACACGTTCTTTTTCATCTTCTTTTCCACGATGGCTTATCACAGGATACTGAACATAGCTCCCTGTGCTCTACAGTAGGGCCTTGTTGTTTATCCATCCTGTATATAATAGCTTCCATCTACTAATCTCAAACTCCCACTCCATCCCTCCCCCAACCCCCCTCCCCCTTGGCAACCACAAGTCTGCCCTCTAGGTCTGTGAGTCTGTTTCTGTTTCATAGATAGGTTCATTTGTGTTGTATTTTAGATTCCACATAGAAGTGATACATGGTATTGGTCTCTGTCTTTCTGACTTAACTTTGTTTAGTATGATCATCTCTAGGTCCATCCACGTTGCTGCAAATGGCATTATTTCATTCTTTTTTATGGCTGAGTAGTATTCCATTGTATATACGTGCCACATCCTCCTTATCCATTCATCTGTTGATGGACGTTTCGGTTGCTTCCATGTCTTGGCTATTGCGAACAGTGCTGCTGTGAACATTGGGATGCGTGGATCTTTCTGAATTAAAGTTTTGTCTGGGTATATGCCCAGCAAAGGAAACCATAAACAAAATGAAAAGACAACCTACGGAATGGGAGAGAATATTTGCAAATGATGCAACTGACGAGGGCTTAATTTCCAAAATATACAAAGGGCCCATACAACTCAATAACGACAACAACAACCATCAAAACATGGTCAGAAAATCTAAATAGACATTTCTCCAAAGAAGACATACAGATGGCCAGCAGGCGCTCCATATTTATTGGCTGTTGGACCAGGTGTTTTGCAAAGTGATTGGGCCAAAGTGCTTATGCCGCTTTCCCCTCCCGGGAGGAAAGAGGTGCTGTTTCGTGGGGCCTGATCAACACCAGAAACACCCTAGCCTCCTCAGCCTGGTGGTGAGGATGCTGTCTCAGCCCACGGGCCAAGGGTGGGCTTTGCTTCCCACTGACGGTTCCTCCTGTGTCCTCAGCTCCGGAGAAGGCATCTGGTCGAACCAGGGCTGCGCTCTCGCCGAAGGGAACCTCAGCTACTCTGTCTGCCGCTGCACACACCTCACCAACTTCGCCATCCTGATGCAGGTGGTCCCGCTGGAGGTAAGCGCCAGGTGGGGAGGGGCTCTTGGACTGCGAAGAGGTGCCCCCTCTCCGTCAGCCTGCAGTGGGGGCCGGGTGGCAGGTCTTCGTCGTCAGCGCCGGGGACTTCAGCCGCAGCAGGGCAGACGGGAGCCTGCGCAGGTAGGGAGGCCCAGTGGTTGGGGACCCCCACGAGGCTCCGCTTCTTTGGCAGAAGGTCCTGTGCTCCAGGTTTCCTCAGCCAGCGCCTGTGCAGACCCTGGGTCCCTCTCGAGGATGCACGTGCTGCCTAGGAGGTGGTCATGGCCGCGTTTTCTGTCTCTGGTCACTGAGCTGTGAAACCCTCCCTGTGCCATGGGCGTGTCCAGCAGAGCGAGGTCCTCGGCTATAAGCAGTGTGCCTGGATGTCCAGAGAAAGTGTCACCAGTGGTGGCATACAGCTGCATCTATGTCCAGGGTGGCCACACCGTGTCCTCGGAGCATTTCTGCTGTGAGACAGGAGACCCTGGGCTGCAGATGGGGCCCTGGACCTGTTTCTGAGGGACCTGACTTCCAGTCCCAGCGGGAGTGAGCCCTGAGGTGGGGGAGGGGATTTCCGACCACCCCTGCGTCCTCCTCTCCAAACGGAGCCAGGACGTCTATCCTCAGGTTAAGGATGGAAGAGGCCCCTCCTGGTTGGGTTTCTCTGCTTCAGAATATTTAATCTTTATTGCCTACTAGGTTTGGTCAGCACTAAGAACTAGAGATTAACTTCTGTGGTTCAAGGGAGGCATAGCTTGTAAGAGAAGACAGAGTGATCTTTAAAAATGCAGATGTGGGGCTTCCCTGGTGGCGCAGTGGTTAAGAACCCACCTGCCAATGCAGGGGACACGGGTTCGAGCCCTGGTCCAGGAAGATCCCACGTGCCGCAGAGCTACTGAGCCCGCGAGCCACAACTACTGGGGCCTGCGCACTAGAGCCCACGAGCCACAACTACTGAGCCCACGCAGCACAACTCCTGAAGCCTGAGCGCCTAGAGCCCGTGCTCCGCAACAAGAGAAGCCACCGCAATGAGAAACCCACGCACCGCAACGAAGAGAAGGCCCTGCTCGCCGCAACTAGAGGAAGCCCGCGCGCAGCAACGAAGACCCAATGCAGCCAAAAATAAATAAATAACTTAAAAAAATGCAGATGCCCCGTGGTAGGATCCTCTGAACTATGCTCAGTCCCTGACACCTGAGCGTGATGACTTCCTTGGTTTCTTAGGCCCACAGAGAAAATTGAATTTCCTGGTAGGGGTGGGAGAGCAGGGAGTCGATGGGGCTTCTCCTAGGATCTCCTAAGATGCAGGGCGGCTCGGGCACCTGGAGACAGGTTTGGTTTCATCCCACACTGGTTTTGGAGATTGAAGATTTTTTATGACTGTGAATTTCTGGCTGCTCTTGAAGATCTGTGGTGATGTTGGGCCAGAGCTCTCACCTGAAGCAGTGGGGCTGCAGCTGGGTAGGGGCTTTCTCCTCCTATGTCAGTGGAGCTGAGTCCCCCAGCCACTCGGCACACCGGCCACTTGTCAAGAGGATGCTCTGACCTCCCCACTCCCGTGTGCCTGAGGGAAGGGAGGTGGCGGCTGACGGGCAATAAGATGCCCCGGGCCGGCTGAGTCTCCGTGGCTGTATGACCTGCTCTGGCAAACCCGCCACCCGTCACGAGGCCCTGCCCTCTCAGGGTACATCCACTCGCAGGGTCTGTCTGTTTATGAACAGACTCTGTTCTCCTGAGTGTTGTAGCCCAGGCACTGCACACACTGGGCGTCAGGAAGTATTTGATGAGCCTGTGATTGCATCGGTTTTGTTAGGGAAGGTGTGGTTCTTATAGCAACACCCAGACTGCAAGCAGTATTTACCTAAGGGTTGGTTCCTTATCCACCATCATTCGACAAATACCTATTGGGTGTATCGCCAGGCCCAGAAGTTCATTTGTAAACAAGAAAAACCATGCGTTTCTGCTTTGGAGTAGTTTATATTCGAGTGGGAAAGACAGAGCATAAACAAATGAGGGGGTAAATCAGTAAGTTCAAAGAGCAGTAAGTGTAGGAAGAACCTTGGAGGGAGCGATGGAGGAGAAGGCAGGTGGGGAGGGGGGACGCCTTCGGGGAGTGTGATCTGGGGCGTTGTTTCCGAGGAAGTGACATTTGAATGGCCAGCAGAGTCTTTTCTCTAGAAGGCCTGGGAGAGGAATATTCCAGGCTGAGAACAGCGAGTGCAGAGGGCAGGAGGGCTGATGAGGTTGGCGTATTGCGGGTGGAAGGTGGTGAGCAGGGCGCTCTTTACATTGCAAAGCGTATCATGGATTTTACAAGCAGACTGTGGATTACTTATGGAGACTCCGGAGAGGAGTTCCTGGCGATCCCTAGGAGGACATGGGGGCTGGTCCACCCCCCACCCTGCAAACTCCCCGCACAGACACACGCAAAATGTCGATCTGAACAGATGACCCCCTCTGCTCTGCTCGCGATGAAGCTTCAAGCGAGGGTGGGCTGAGCAGACTTCTCAGCAACGCCATCAGACGGAGTCGCCAGGAGTTGCCAGATTACTCCTGGGAAAACTGACGACGCGTGAAATGAAGCCCAGGCGTTGACGCAGCAGCTTTAGTTTCCGAGCAGGCAGTTCTGTCATAGACTTGAGGGGTGCAAGCCCACCTGTCCGCCCAGTGCACCTGTTGTCCAGGCAGGTGTGACCCCCCCCCCCACAAACAGTCCCTGTGGGAGCATTTTCTTGAAGGTGTGACCTTTCGGGGGCAGTTGAGTGACTGACACCTCCTCCCTTTTCGTTTCCATCCCTCACACGTGCTCGGTCAAAGGCTCCCTCCCCGGTCAGGGAACTAAGATCCCACCTGCCACGGAGCAACTAAGCCCGTGCGCCACAACTACTGATCTTGCGCAACTCAGCAAAAGAGACCGCGTGCTGCAAACTACAGAGCCCACGCACTCTGGAGCCCGCGCGCCACAACTAGAGAGAGAAAACCCACACGGCACAACTAGAGAGAAGCCCGTGCGCCGCAACGAAAGATCCCGCATGCCGAAACGAAGACCCGACGCAGCCAAAAAAACAGGAAAAACAGAAAGAAACACCTTTCTCTCGTTGACCTGCAGCTCTTCGATCCTAAGTCGGGGTGCACGCCGGGTTGTGAACCGTTGGTAGCTGGGGAGATCAGTGCGGTGGGCCGTTGCCAGTGATTTAAAGAAAAATGAAATAAGATGACAACATAGCAGAGTGCATTGAAGTCGGGAGAGTAAGCCCCTGTTCGTGAGGCCCGAGCATCAGCTCCCCTGACTGCACGAGACGTCCGCTCTACTGACCCGTCCACTCAGTTGCTTCCTCTGCCACCCTTGCTTATCCTAGTCCACGGGTCCTGACACCACTCATATCTCCTGGCACATCAGGCCCTGGCAGATGAGAAGCACGGCCTCTGTGAGGCTCACCCTCCGCCTCTGTCCTCCACCCAGGCCCCCTTCTCCTCCCTCTTGCCCGGGCCTCGGCCCTTGTGGCTCAGTCTGCAACCTTCTGGTGTCACAGGGGAGAGTCCAGCCACTCACATTAGCCCCTGGCAAAGGCACCGCCCTGCCGCCACGCAGAACCTTTGTCAGTAGTGCCCGGAGGGTCTGAGTGGTCCTGTGACCAAGCCCCCTCCTTGTCCTGTGACAAGTGGAGAAAATGAAGCCCAGAGGGCGGGGTGGCCCAGCCTGTGGTCTCTCGTCCATTCATCAGTGAATTATTGAGATCCAGGTGACCCCTAGGCTTTTTAGGCGTTATTCTGGAAAAATGCAGTGCTCAAGGTCTTGAGTGCGGATGGAGACACGGCCTGTGAGGGCAAACATGGGAGGGTCAGGCCGGAAGACAAAGGTGGCCCCGCAGCGCCTCCTGAGCGGGGGGCGACGGGTAGAGACCCCGGGGGGTGCGGGGGAGCCATGCAGACGCAGATGGAAGGGCGTCCGGGCAGAGGAGCCATGGGTGTGAGGCCTGAGCACGAATGGCAAGGAGGCTGGTGCAGCTCCCAGGACACGTGCCAGGGAGCTTCAGACCCAAATGCCCGAGGTGCCGAGAGGCCGCCGGAACGACGGGGGTGGAGGCCATCGCGGAGGGTGTGGGTGTGGTGAACTGAGAGCCCCTGCCCGGCTGACGGGGCAGCCGCTGCGCACGCGGACTGGAGCTGCCCCCTCTTTGATTGAGAAAAGCTGGAGATGGGTTTTGTGCAAAATCTCTTGATTTTTACATGTGTCATTAGTTATCCTTTCTAGGCCACGTGTGAGAGGTGTATCCGTGGCCTGGGCCAGTCCAATGTCCGCAGCCCAGCAGCCTGAACCCCACGTGCTCAGCGACCGTCGGGTCTTGTGAAAACGCTGATCTAGGTTCCTTAGGTCTGGGTTGTTCCCTGCTCACAGGGCCCAGGCGGTGCCCAGGCACTGCTGGCCTCAGGCCTCTCTCTGAATAGACCCTAGAGTCAGACACCTTGTCTGTCAAAGTCCCGTGAAAGTGGCTGGGCCGGTGGTTACAGATTTGAAGGGCGAGTTAGGGTTAGTCTGATTCCAGACGTGTGCTCTGTAGCAGGTGATGGGACCTCGGCCAGGGGTCTGAAGGGGGGAGTGGGACAGATGGGCCTCCAGGAAGTAAGATGCAGAGGACGCTGGTGAGACTGCCCCTTGGGAGAGCAGTTCCAGGGACGCAGGAAACAAGACTTGTTCTACAGTGAGCTGCAGGCAGACCGAGAGCCAGAAGAAGGGCAGGTGCTCTGTCTGCAGGCCTGGCAGCTCTGGGGTCACTGGAGGTCACAGAGCAGACTGCCTGCTGGTGACAGTGAACACAGGAAAGGCACCGTTTTGGGGTCTCTTCCCTCCTTCTGGCCTCGCATGCGGGCCTCGCAGATGAGGGTTGGGGGACTTCCCCAAGGTCACCTGGGGGCAGAGTCCGGACTTGAGTTCTGCCCTCCTGTGCAAAGCTCAGGCTGGTAGTCACGCCCCGGGATGGACCCTTTACCCACCGAGG